GCAGATTCGTGCCACCATTGAGAGAGATGGATATGTGAGTGTCGGCACACGGAAGCAGCGGAGAGTTGCACTTTCATTACAGTAACAACAGTCTAAAGCAGTCTAAATTTAACCCTTTTTTTGTTTGTTTTTGTTTTCCTGCAGTCAAAGATCCTTGGAGATGTTGGAGGTGTGGTCCTTGCAAATGCATGCGGACCCTGCATTGGACAGTGGGACAGGTAGATGCTCTGTCTCAAAGTGTTTGACAGCATACCAAAAAAATGTGTCTTAACTAGTGCTGTCAGCGTTAATTTCGTTAAAAGGACGTTAATGCCATAACCGCATTAACGCAGCAAATCTCAGTTAGCGAGTTAGCGCGGATCGCCCCGTGCGTGGGGCTGCACGGCGTCAACGCGTTAGCGCGGTTAGCTCGTTAATGTGTTAGTGCCGTCCAGCTCCAACGCACAGGGCGATCCGCACTAACTTGCTAAATGAGATTTGCTGCGTTAATGCAGTTATGGCATTAACGTCCTCTTAACGAGATTAACGCTGACAGCACTAATCTTAACATACTAAAACACTGCTTCTTTTAGCTAGCTAAAGACATTCTGTCTTCCCGTTCGGTGGGCTTTGGTTTTAGAGTGGCTGTTGCTCTGTGGAGCCTTGACTTGGAAAAGCGCAATCTTTTTGTTTGTTTCAGGCGCGATGTGAAAAAGGGAGAGAAGAACACCATCGTCACCTCCTACAACAGAAACTTCACTGCCAGGAACGACGCTAACCCCGCAACGCACGCTTTCGTTACCTCCCCCGAGGTAAACCCACAGCAAATCAGCCCACACTACACACAAGCCTCCTTTTCACAGCTTAAACCTTCCCCTCTCCTCTCGTCCATCAGATCGTTACTGCTCTCGCCATCGCTGGCACATTAAACTTCAACCCTGAGACAGATTACCTTACAACCCCAAGCGGGGAGAAGTTCAAGCTGGAGCCCCCAAATGGAGATGAACTCCCATCCAGGGACTTTGACCCTGGCCAGGACACCTACCAGCACCCTCCTGCTGATGGCAGCAGCCTCAAGGTGGACGTCAACCCTCAGAGCAACCGCCTGCAGCTGTTGGAGCCCTTTGACAAGTGGCACAGAAACGATCTGGAGAACATGCAGGTCCTCATCAAGGTGAGGGTCCTGAAAGAGCATTGGTCTGTCAGATTTGGCCCTCAAATTCTGATCAGAGTCAAAATGTTTATACACTGGGGTCTGTCTGTCTGTGCAGGTGAAGGGAAAATGCACCACAGACCACATCAGCGCCGCAGGACCTTGGCTGAAGTTCCGCGGTCACCTCGATAACATTTCCAACAACATGCTGATCGGTGCGGTCAACAGCGAGAACGATGCTGTCAACAAGATCAAGAATCACCTGACAGGAGAGTATGGAGGAGTCCCTGACGTGGCTCGTCACTACAAGGTAAAGACCAGAAGGAATCACTGAGTCTCATTTTAAACCAGAAATCTCTTCTGACGTGCTTTCTGTCATGTTGCGTGAAGGCCAACGGCATTTCCTGGGTTGTGGTTGGTGACGACAACTACGGTGAGGGCTCGAGCCGAGAGCATGCTGCACTGGAGCCCAGGCATCTGGGAGGGAGAGCTATAATTGTCAAGAGCTTCGCCAGAATCCACGGTACTGCATAAACACGAGATGAGCAGAGGAATCGTAGATAGTAGCGTCACTTGATTCGCACCTCAACCTGATTTTGTCATATCCTCAGAAACAAATCTCAAGAAGCAGGGCCTGCTCCCCCTGACCTTCAGCAACCCATCAGACTATGACAAGATCCGCCCCGACGACAAGATCTCCATCAGAGGACTTAAAAGCTTCGCTCCAGGAAAGGTGAGCGGGTGAAGAAATACTGAAAAAGCAGTCATAAACACGACTGATATTCTTGCTAACAATCATGTCTTCTCCTTTTTTCTTTTTTCCCATCCTTGGCAGCCTCTGACCGCAGTCTTAAAACACAGCGACGGCACTGAGGAGACGCTGCAGCTCAACCACAGCTTCAACGAGACACAGATCCAATGGTTCCAGGCGGGCTCCGCCCTCAACAGGATGAAGGAGATGCAGCACTGAGAATGAGGAAGATGATTGTCAGAGGGGGGGAACCGTGGTGAAGATTGTGAAGAATAAGGAGGATAAAGTATAATGATTATTTCATCGTCAGCATTATCTTACAGTTCTGGCTGATTTAATGTGTCTGTATGCCTGTAAGAGTTAAACGTAGAGCCAAGTGTGAAGCTAATGTTCACCGTGGAACAGTTTGCTCCGATGTTAAAATTTAATTCATCAGTACAGAGCTATTGTAAGCAGCCATGTTTCAGTGAATCATTGATAACCGGTTAGAGATTCTGTTATAACAAAAAAACGAGGGACACACTCGCACACTTTGACACACTAATCGGTGACATAATACGCTGCAAGCTGATGCTCTGCTAGTGCGTTTGCAGTGTAGAGGGCAATCACCTTATTGCTTTAGGATTGTGTTGACCTCTGCATGGCAATGTTTGGCTTCATCCAAATTGTCCCAGTGTTATTCCAAAGTTCACCCTAAACAGCTAAAAGCTGCCGTGCATTGCATGTCTAAGCCCATTTAGTCCATTTAGTGACGGTCAAAATCCAAATGTTGTTAAGCCATATGCACGTATTTATTCCCCCTGAAGTTTAGCTCGTCTGCCCCCTGGTGGCCACGAGGATGTGGTTTGCTGCGTAGCAGGTCTAGCATCTTCATATAAATGCCCACTTTAACACCAAGTTTGACATCTTTTCCTTTATCTAGGAATTTGATCTAGGGCATTCTGGGAAACTTAGCTTAGCTGCAACATGTGGGACGCACTGAACATCAGATTACTGTGTATCTAACTGTGAGAGGGGGTCCTTTGTCTGGTTGTACTTCATTACAGTACATATTCATTTTAAGACCCAAAAGACGGTGTTACATTTCATGCTGTATTTAAAAAAAACAAAACAAACAAAAACAACAAACCACATGCTTTAATGCTGCTCGTGGATACAGTGACTGGCCCTCTTTTTTTTCTTTCCTTGCTAATATCACAACCACTATCCCTAAACTGTTCCCAGTCAGTCCTTGTGTCTTTACAAGATCAAGCACTTCAGCCGACCCACTCCCAGTTATTTATGTGTTACTTATTTATTTTTTTTCTGCAGACTTACCTGCACCTCCATAAAAGCACAGGGTTAACTTGGACCTCTTCAAACCTATATCGTCAGGTTTTTGGTTTAATTTTGTTTTGTTTTTTTGGAGGGCTTTGGTTTGCTGCTTTTTTTTGTTTATTTTTTACTCCACCAATAAATCCGATGGCATTGTTGGGGAAATGCTTAAAATAATTGTGACCAATCAGAGTTTTAAAAAACATGTTAATGAGGACTCTCATAAGAAACCCAGACCAGTGATCTGTGAGGGTGTCAGTTTAATTAAAGGTCCCTCTGAAACCTTCACATGACAGAGTCTAATGCTTTTCCAAACTTCCTGGTACCCGATGAAGCTCACATCAGGTGAAGGATTTAACCCCCTCCCGATTCTAAACCAGTGTATGTCAAATGTCCGCTTTAGTGTGCTTTCTGTGTTCTCTTCCTCACAAATGATCTTTTCTGTATAATAGAAATGCAGTGGGTTGTACAAACAATAAAAATTCACAGATCTCACTTATTTGCCTGTGTTCTAGTGATGTGAGTTCATATGAGCTGATTTCTTCTTTTCTCCCTCTTCATAAATGTTTTTTTTTTAAAATATCCTCACAATATATTTCACACATTTGGAAATAAACAGTAGACTACAGAAAGCGAGGTTGGTCTTTGATTTCTGATATTCTGGATTGATTGAAGACCTTTAGATTCCTAAAGTTAAAAATCTGTAAATAGTGGTGTAGTCAGATGGGTGTGGATCTGGGGGGAATGTGACATATTTTTACACACGACTGACACTATGGTAACCTCATTTTTTTTTTTTTTTTTTTTTAAATAAATCCTCTGGTCCTTTTCCTCCAAGCCAATCAGTTGAAAAACATGTTTGCAGCTATTTTAAACAAAGTGTCAGTTCTGAAATGTCACAGAAACACGGGATGGCTATAAAGGCCCGGAAACGATTTTCAGGGAGGAAATTTTTAGTTACAAGACAGTGAAGATGTGTAACTGCAAAAATACAGGCTGCAGCTGTAAAGAAATTTAAATACATATTTAATTCCTGAGATACTGTAATATAAGAAAAAGAAGTGAACACTGTCAATTTTTCTCTATGTAATAAAGAACAGCTGCTGTAGTAAATGATTTGGAGTGAAGGGAGCTTTAATAATGACCAAATTTCATCCATAATTTAATATTAAAGTGCAAACTCCAATGCTTTAATGAATTTGGGTTGTACAGTTAACAAAAAGAATCGTTTGCAGGTGCAGCTGCGCAATATAAGAGAGAACCCCAGCAAGCCTTTTTTTTAAGCAAGTGACTGGCGACCGTGGGGAAGAAGAACCCCCTTTTCTTAAGAGGAAGAGACCTCTGGAAGGTTGAGGAGTGAGAGGGGAAAAGAAGAGCACAGGAGAGTAAACAGGACACAAATTATTGCAAAGAATGAATGAGAGGAAGGTCTAAACTCATGTCTTGTTATCAGACACAGGATAGCTTTCAGTCATCTGAGACATGCGAGCCAAGCGGTCCAGTTAAACTAGCTTTTGATGGAAAGCTGTCAAAGAGGTGCCCATGACCACTAATGAAATTGTGTCTTATTATTAAATCAAAGCTGACATGACTTTTAATTTTCAAGGACACTCAAGCACAGGCCTGTGACTCATATAAAACCATCGTGTCTCACACTATTAAAGCATCAGAGACTGCTAAAACATTAAAAAACACGCTTCCCTCCGCGCAGAGAACAAAGAGTGGGGTGTAGGATAGGGAAGCCGTTGTTTTCACCACCCCCCCACCTCATGCACCCCCGCCCCATCTCTGCTGCCTCCTTTTCATTTGCTGCTGCTTTTTTTCTCTCCTCCTCCCATCCCACCCGTGTGCGCCGCGTCCATACCAAGATCCACTGACTTATCCGCCACATGTCCCCGCAGATTCAACTTCATAATTGTCTTACGCCACATTAAAGGACGGGGACGTGTTGACCTGACAGCTGATCGGCGCTTTTACAGTAAGTAATCGTTGGATCGATCTGGCTGATGGAGTGATTTACGCATCCAGCGCTCCTCTTCTCTGCGTCCGGCCGACGGCGGCGGTTTCTGGCAGTGTTGTGTTTAAATCTCTGCTTTCTAACCCAGAGCTAACATTTACTATAGTCTTCTTCTTCTTTTTTTTTCTTCCTCTGCGTGTTAGTGTATGTTAGGTGTGGGGTTTTTCTCGCCGTTAGTGGAGCATCCTCTCGCCTTCTTGTCTCAGGCTGCCACTGTGTGAGAATGTTCTGGAAACAAGCCGCCTGAAGGGCGCTTATTTGCTGCTGAATTATTCAGACTCCTCAGACACACAAATCATACCATAAAATCATTTGGGCGGTTTGTCTCTTTGAAAGGATGATGTAAAGTTTAAAGACAGGCTCTGTGTATGTATGTGTGTGTGGGGGGAAGCTGACGTGTGTCCCATACTGATGCAGAGGACCACAGACGGCCACAGTTTCACAGGCAGGGAGGTGCTTTCTTTTTGGCCTTTTGTCTGTCTCCTCGGAGCTTTTGTAGCCCCCTTCCTTCCTCTAGATCAGCCTTCACCCCTCCTGGTTAAAATGTTTGCTCTGACGGTGCAGACTCATTAGACAAATCCATTTTAGTGGCCTACTCTCAGCCTAATATATGGGCCAATGACAGGAAGCTGTGCCTGTCAAGTTTCTGAATTATTCAGGCTACATTTTTGTGCTTTGTCATCCATCAGTCATGCCATCAGTCCTGTCCTCTGTGCCGCCGTGATGACAGATGCGTGTGTTCGTCACCATCACTGCATCAGCTCTGTCTATCCAACAGGATCCCCAGCAGAGCCCTCGCTCAGCAGCCATTTGCAGTGTTTTTCTTTAGAAAGTCAGAGATCAGAAGCACTGCTTTGAGGATGCTGTGGACTTGAAATCCTTTAATATTCACAGAAACCAGCACGAACCTTTAGAGCTACTCTTAGGCACAATTTGGCTTTTTCAAATCATCTTTAAAGCTCGTTTGGTGATTAAATTTCTAATATAACCATTTCATATTTCACTACATATATTGTCTATTTCACAATTACTTGGTCGGGGCTCACCAACCAGTGACACGGTGTCATGTCATCAGCATCTAAGAGGATGGAAGCCTTGCTGAGGTTTCAGCGAACCATATATTAAACAGAGTACTGTCACTCTTCTTTTGTCCTCCACTTGTTCAATTTTCTCCCTTTTTACATAGATGTTGATATATGCCAAGACTTTCACCCCAGTACTGCAAAAGTACTATTTTATGCTTGTGAGCAATAGTTCTCGAGGATTTCTGAAGGTCTTTCAAAAGTTTTCTTTGGACTTTGAACCAGTGTCGTATCTACATATAACAGGCAACTTAGGAAATACCATTTTAAATGAAATAAGAGCTTTGACTGTCTTTCAGAAAACCTGGAGAACTATTCCTGAAGCTGCCTAGGAGAGTTCAGAGTGTGAAGAATAAAGATGGTCTCAAAAATCCCAGCAACATAAGCTCCTCCTGTAGCTTCTATTGATATTTCTGAATCTTGTATTCATTGTAATACAGCAGCCCAGTTGTTAACCTCTGCCTCAGGATCCTGTGGTCTAGTTCAAAGATGGCGTCAATCCCACTACACATGACTATATTTAGACTGAGAGTAAGAAACAGAAAGGGTGATATTGGATGGAGCCTGTGGTATTCAGTCTGGCACACATGCGTCTCATCAGTCTTTGTCAAACATTCAGCCTGCAAGCCTCAGTGATTCACTGGGAGGTGCTTGCTGATGGTCCCAGTAACACACCCTCCCGCATCTGCGTTTGTTTGATAAACCAGGTTTTAGCGTTAGCTGTTTAACCTCTGTTGAGCGATGCCCCAAAGCCGTTTGTTTCATGAGCTTGCTAATATGGCATTCATCATCTAGTGGCTCTGAAACGAAGCAGCTCGTTGTTTGAATGCAGACCAATCCTGTAATGGATGTCAGTCCGGTAGAGTGCGGCACTTTAATCTAATAATATGTGATGAGGTGGCCTTCCAGGAGAGCTTTGATATTTACATCATAATGGGACCTTTAGGCTTTATTGGTTTAAGAGGTGATGTTTGTTTTCCATAGCCTGAAGGAATACTAAGCCTTTTCAGTTTATCAAACAATTTTAGAGTCACTGAGTTTGGTGATGCTATACAACAATACATGTATGCTAATGTTTATGCATTTTCTAAATTCTTATTGGGGTCATGATGTTTATAGTGCAACAATGTGAGTAACGGAAAGCTTTAAAGAACACATTGCAGTTTCATTAAAGTTAAGAAAAACAGACTCCAGGCACATAATGACACTATATAAATTAAACTGAGCTGTATTTGTAGCAACACTAGCCAAAACAATTGAAAATGTGTCCATTTATCAGTATTTTTTACAAAATTTTTATTACAAAGAAAGCATTGTGCGTATTTGGACATACTGGGTTTCTCTGTTGGTTGTGACTTTTATTCCTCACCTTTGTGCCGATGACAAAGCCGTATTCTCTTTCTGGCATTAACCCTTGGTCTTGTTCCTTCACTTTAGGGTTTGCTCCACTCCTTCACCTGTAAGAGCTCTCCTCTGAAAAGCCTTCTCTCCCTCACCAACGCTTGTGCCATGCAGGAGGTGTGAACCCTCCTCCTTCTCTTTCTTTGCAAACCGCTGGAGGAAACCCAAAAAGAGAGCAAAAGAAAACCCAGACTCTAACAAGTCACGATGTCAGACCCTGACCCCTCTTTGCCGACAGTCCCCCCACTGCCCCTCACTTCTCCGCGCACTCCCTTGCAGCTCTCCTTTCCCTTCCTGAGGGAGGGCAGCCGGGTTTGGGAGAAGGAGAGGAAACCACCACAGCCCGGAGAGCTGCCTAGCCCACTGCCTACTAAACGCACTCGCACATACTCAGCGTGAGTACAAATAGCGCTATTGGTGCTCTCTCTCTTGCTTTTGTAAAATAATTATGCTGTTTATTTAAAATGCACTGTCTCTTTTTCCTCTTTGCTTCTATCTCTCTTCCTCTACAGGACAGTGCGAGCTAAATCAGGTCCTGTATTTAAAGGGGTGTGTAAAAACTTCTCCAGGTCTCAGGGTCATGGATTCATACGGCCTTCCCACGGAGGAGAGGACATCTTTGTCCACATCTCTGAGTGAGTGGCCGCACTGAAATGTCCTGGTATCAAAGTTGTCTTTGGACTCACAGTGCAGTCTATTTAACATGCACAGATCAGCAGCAAGTAAATGTGGGTTACACAGAAACTACTAAAACTTTACAGTATTTATTTTTTGACTGTGTAATTTCTCTTTTTTTATTTATGTTTTTTTTTAATGATTGGAGTCAGCTGTGAAGTAGATGGCAATTGTACACTGTATATAAAAGATGGACATAGCCTCTGGGATTGAAAATGGTTTAAGCCTGCATTCTTTCTAACGGCCAGCAGAGGGAGACTTCTCCAGCTGTAAAAGCACATCTGACTGTAAATAAGATGTTAACCTAACTCATTTAATTTATGACCTAATAAACACTTTTCTCATAAGTTTATATTCATAATTGCCACCTTCAGGACTTATTTGGTAAAGCCATACATTCCTTTTTTAAATAAATTATGTTCCCTATTAGCGTAAACAAGATAATAAAGTAGACGTAGCTATGTGCACCAGAAGTAGAGCCCCAGAAATGTACGATTTTTAAGACAGACATTTGGTGAATTAAATAATCTGATATTCCGATATTGTTTTTTTTTTTTCGTTCAGACTCACAAAACAGAAACAGAATTCACTAACATTTGTTATATGTTGTTATTTACTTATTTACACTCTGCCCATCTCTACTCAGATCAGGAAATTGTAGAGTGGCCTCTAGTGGACAAACTATACAACATCACATTAGCACTCACTTAAGGGTTTCTCTTTTGTCTCTTTTTCACTTTTTATTCTTCATAACAAAAGGTGTAATAAATTATTTTTCTTCATAATAAATTAATTTTTCTTTGTAAACACTGATACAAGTAGATCAAGACTGGCCAGCATCAACTTATAATATCTAACTGCCATTAAATCAATCAGGCTCTAATCTTAAATACTTGGTTCAAGGGTCAATAATGACAAGTAAGTTAGTCTAAATTTGAACATTTAACATCTCAAATTCACGTTTATATTAACAGCAGTTGGAATCCCATGATCATCTTTTATATACAGTCTATATAGCACAGGTAGAGTCCTCCAGGTTTGGTGGAGATCAGTGGTGGAGAAATTTGAATGAAATCTTAATCTACCAGAAGTATTTCTAAAACTCAATTCTCATTGGCTGCTGTGCATGAACGTAGCAGCTTGGTCGGCGTGAAAACAAGTCCACAGACCTTGATTTTAGTTGCTTGATTTAAAGAAAGCACTCTGCAAGAATGTGAAAAAATGCTTTGTTTTTACTTTTTCTTTTATATTGTCTCTGTTTCCTGAACAGCATTGAGGGAGAGTACGTGCCTATGGAAGGAGACGAGGTTACGTACAAAGTGTGCCCCATCCCTCCCAAGAACCAGAAGATTCAGGCTGTCGACGTGGTGATCACCCACCTGAATCCAGGCACAAAGCATGAGACCTGGTCAGGTCAGATCATCAGCTCCTAGACCAGGGATTTAAGTCTCAGATCTGCAAAGGCGAAGAGGGGTTTAGACTTAATTTCAGATTTTATGTTTTGGTAAGGGAAACGGTAGGATCAGGTCTGGGGCAGAGGGATCCGAGCTCGGTGTGCGGTGGGCAAACGCTGGCCTGAGGTGATAGTGGTACAGAAAGTAAACTTCTAGATATAAAAGTTAGGGTTGGGAGTTAAGCTTTGAATGTATGTGTTTGAATGTTTTTATTTGGAGGCCATGATTTGATCATTTGTGTTTGAATATTTCTGTTGGGGGGGGTTAAAGGGGTTCAGGGTTTGGTGCTAGCAATTTTACTTTGGGCTAGGGAACATATTTAAGTTGGGAAATAAGTGGTTGTAAAGGAAGTGTCTTTAATGAGTTGGATAAAGATGTACTAGGGGCCGAAATGCATTTTGAGCTAATGAAACAGTTCAACCATACAGACTCGCACTCTGAGTTTTTGGGAGCAGCTCAGAGGACGTATGTGTGTACTTCCAATTTTACATATTCACACTGTGTGCCACCACTGCCAAGGTTCATTAAAAAAGTCACACTGAAACATTCATTTTAGCCATAATGTCTATGTTTACAACCGCAGAGGAGGAAGAAGAAGAAAGATTCAAAGGAAAAAACACTTAAAAAATGCCAAGATTTTCCAGGTTGTTTACTTTTCCCAAATGGGAACTATGAGTATACTTTCACTAGTAACTTTTCCATATTTGCAATTCGCTCTTAATGCATTTCGGCCTCAAGTGCTGTGAGAAGTTTCACGTGTTAGGAAGATGTTTCCTTCTAAACATTGTAGCGCTACAGTATTTTTTCTATTTGCAAGTGTAGAAATCCAGTATTATTGTAGCCAGCTCCTATGACGGTCTAAAGTTTTTGTGGTAGACAGTGGGCATGTGGGCCTGCTGCTGAAAAAACAGGCCAGAGGGTTTGGGGTTGGTGGAGGAAATGGTCAGAGGGTGAAGGAACGGGCAGAGGATGGAGTGATCATCTGTAGTTGTGCTCGAGCACAGATGCAGCTAGCTTCGATGTGGGTGTTATAAAGCACGTGTAAGGAGGATGACTGAGATTAATGTCAGCAGTTCTCACTTTGTGGGTCATCAGGTGACGTCAATGATCTTAAAGAAATAGTTTAACACTTTGGGAAACAGTTATTTGCCTTACAGATTATAGGACTGATTTCTCCTTCAGGTCAGGGTTTCCTACTCTCACGTTTCTGGCGTGTGACAAATGCTTTAACCTTCAGTCTCATGCTGCTGGAATGAATCTTATTTGAAATATAGAAAACACAAAAAAGCAAGCTTCTGAGTTTCTCTTTTATAGAAAAAAAAAGTTTAAACTAAGCTTTCCGCACACAATACAAACTCTAAACATCAGGCTTTTTCCACTGTTTAGAACCAACACTGATCCAGAAACAGTGGAGAGTGCAAAAGATTGTTAATGTGCTTATGTTTACAAAGGCTTGCCAGCAAATGTAGCCTAATCTGTGCACAGGAATCTTTTTAGGACTCTTTGTCAAACTATATCAAATACTTGCATCCTTATCGGGCACAGGATCACCTGCAGCTGTGTTCCACAAAGTGAGAGAGTGGTTTCAGCTTCATTACAGCTAATAATAGCTTCAGACACTGCGGTACTGAAAATGGACCATTAGAGCCTAACAGTGAATCACCAGTTAAACCATTTGTTACATAGCTATTCTCAGACTGAGTCCTATGCTTCATTAAAAGTCTGGATTTCTGCTCAAATTCAGTGACCATTGTTAGCAGTAATAAGTGAAGTGATGTTTACTTTACCATGACCTCTAATCATTAAACTAAAAGAACGTGATAGCAGTTAGCCTAACAGCAATGAAAATATATTTTCCACATTATATTTTCTACTTTAGCTCATAATTTATGTGTGATAAATATGAAAATATAGCAAGCAGCCACAGCATAGCCTAGCATAGCATTAAGACCAGAAAAAGGGACAAGAGGTAGCCTGGCATTTTTTTCAATTATCCTAAAACTTTAGGCTAAGCTAACCAGCTGCTACCTGATTATATAAACTTAGCACAAAACGTAAAAACATTTCTGTTTGATTATTGTTTCTTTATTGTAACAATGCTTCTTGACAATAAATCTCATACCAGCGGAAAGTCTGCTTATTTCCCCTTATATGGTACCACATTTATAAGGACAATGCTTTTGTGGGTTGAGCAGCAGAGTGAGTATGTGGCTTGCGCCCATGTAACATTTGCCAAATCTTCTCTGCCAATACCAAACAGTTTATTCTGCTATTGACTTTTGCTTGGTGTTGTATGTTGGATTGGATGATTGAAGTCTGAAGAAAAAAGACATATTAACAATTTAGTAGCATGTGGATGAACCGAACACAGGAAACTCAACTCTGCTGCTCAACCCATAAATGTACAAATGTAGTGTCATTAAAAGGGAAATAAACAGGACTTCTAAGTGTTTAAGATTTTTTGCATTGTTACAAAAAAGGAATAATCAACCAAACACAAATTTCCTTACATTTTGTGCTGAGTTTATGTATGTGTATGTATGTACGGAGCCGTGCTGATCTTTTTATGGAGCTCTCAGCATGTGAGTAGAAAAGCAAATTTCAGTAAATGTTGAACTATTTCTTGAAATCATTCTCTCAAGGCCTCCTGGAGGGTCAAGCTGAGGAGAATGTGTTGATTTTTTTGTTAAATTTAGATGGCAGGTTGAGCATTTGAGAATTTACTGTAGAAAATCTCATATGTCACGGCAAATGACTGTAGAAAAAAACAAAACAAAACAAAACAAAAGAGCAGCAAATTTATTTATTGACCTATTTATTTTCATTTGTAACTAGGAGAACATCAGGCGTTTGGTAATTAAAAGCTGCATTTTCAAGTACTTGTGCAAAACTAAGCTTGTTTGAAAAACACTGCACACCTCACTCTTATGATACTACCCTGTCAAGATCCCTTTGCTACGGTCTATGTCGTTAACGAGAGGGGAAAAAACCCTTTTCTTAACACAAGTTTCTAATTTCTATGTAATCTTTGTCTAATTTTTAATATAACTGTGTGGCGTTCGAAATGACAAGCAAGTTTTGTTTGTTTTGGAAGTCAGCATGTTCTCTACGGTTTGTCGTAATCTTCATGTAGAATGTGTTAATTCATCATGCAGTAACACAGTCGGAGCCTTCACAGAGGTATCGTCAGATATCCTATGCATCTTTGATTCTTCTTCGTTTAATTATTATTTATTTATTGGGGGGTTTTTTGGGCCGTAAGTGTGACTTAACATCATTGTAGCACACTATATCTGTGTAGTTTCTTTACTGTGGGAGAAAAGAGTTTGTGTTGGCGAGCACTTTTATTTTTGTCAAATCACTGTGACACCTGTCTTTTGTTGTTAAGAAAAAATTTCAATAAAACTTACAATGGTATTCACAAAAGTTGTTGTTATTGTGAGTTTCTCCATCCCTTACTGGTGCTGCTTCATAGAGAAGTAAGTTGGTAGGTATTCTGAGAGCCGTCTTACTTTGACAGGGTTTTTGTTTTGTTTTTTTTGCTGTGAATCTTGGGAAACATTTTGATGCATTTGTGTTGTGCTTGTTTTATGTCCATATCCTGCCCATTAGAGGGCGTCCCAGCAGAAATAATCTCCTGGTTCATTACATAGCTGTGTGCGGTAGATGTAAGTAAGTAAGTAAGTAAGTATAAATTATTTATACATCACATTTCACAGATAAAAATCACAAAGTGCTTCACAATAAAACCAGAAATACGAATAAAATAACATAAAACAGTGGGAAAAAAAAGTTAAAAGCTTGTTTGTATAGAAATGTCTTCAGCTGCTCTTTAAAGGAGTCAATGGAGTCTAGACAGTGTAAAGACAACGGCAGGGAGTTCCACAGCCTAGGTGCCAGTGCCTGAAAAGCCCGATCCCCACGTGTTTTGAATCTAGTACGTGGGACCACCAGTAGCCTCTGACCTGCGACCTAAGTGCTCAGGATGAAGCATGAGGTTTCAACAGGTCAGAGATATACTGGGGAGCTTCACCGTGCAGAGCTCTAAAAGTTACAACTAAAATTTTAAAATGAACCCTAAAATTTACTGGCAACCAATTAAGAGAAGCCAAAACTCTTGTTTGTTCCGGTTATAAGTCTTGCCGCGGCATTCTGTACAGTCTGAAGGCGATTCAGAGCTGATTTGTTGAGACAAGTAAAACGACCATTACAATAATCCAAACGAGAAGAGATAAGAGTTCTGCCTTTGACACCAGTAGTCTGAGTTTAGAAATGTTTCTTAGATTATAAAAACAGTTCCGGAAAAGTTGTTTAGACTGTTTCTCAAGAGACAGTGGACTGTCAAATATAACACCTAAGTTTCTGAGACTCGACTGAAATGAAGGGTCTAAAGGACTGAGAGCAGGAGCTATAATCAAAGATTCTGATTTTATCTGCATTTAACTGGAGAAAATTATCATTTAGATCATGGGGGCGATCGTGGCTTACGAGTTGGCAGTTCGTCTTGTAATCGGAAGGTTGCCGGTTCGAGCCCCAGCTCGTTCGTTGTGTCCTTGGGCAAGACACTTCATCTACTGCCTACTGGTGATGGCCAAAGGGGCCTATGGTGCGATATGGCAGCTTCGCTCCTGTCAGTCTGCCCCAGGGCAGCTGTGGCTACACTTGTAGCCTCCACCAGTGTGTGAATGTGAGCGTGAATGAATAGTGGAATTGTAAAGCGCTTTGAGGTTCTCGAAAAGCGCTATATAAATGCAATCCAAACTGGTTTGATTTCTGACACAATTATTTATAAAACTGAGATGTTTTGAAAGAACAGTATAACTGAATGTCATCAGCATAGAGATGATAAGAAATATTATTGTAACGTCTGATAATTTGGCCTAGAGGGAGTATATGCAGCAAAAAGAGAATCAGACCTAAAACAGATCCTTGAGGTACCCCAGAAGGCAGAACTGATGTTTCAGACAACACATGATTCATACAGACAGTAAAAGATCTCTCAGATAGATACGACATAAACCATTTTAAAACAACACCAGTAATCCTGAACAAGTCCTTCAGCCTATTTATCATGATGCTGTGATCAACAGTATCAAAAGCAGAGGTGAGATCCAAAATAACCAGAACGGTGTCTGCTGCCATCAGAATGTCACTAGACACTTTAAGTAAAGCGGTTTCAGTGGAGTGCAATTTGCGGAAACCAGACTGGAAAATGTCCAGAACGTGAAAGTCAAGGAGCAAAAAAGAAAGTAAGTGGGTTGAAACGTCACACAAACCCCAAAAATGGGAAAAACAGGAGATATTGGATCTCAAACAGACAGCAGACTTCTATTTACCACGATCGGTCACTTTCAACTGCTCGTTACTGCAAATATGTAATTGGGCAATCACGTGGGAGCAGTGATTAGTGCCTTTGAGCATGTAGATATGGTCAATATAAGCTGCTGACCCAGCAAAATGAGGAAGAGGGTGATTTCAGTGACTCTGAATGTGGCTTGTTCTTTGTCCCAGATGTGCTGGACAGACAACCAGCATTTGCAGCATTTATAGAGTAGAGTCTGAAAAAGAGAAAACATGAGCAGCAGTTCTCTGGCTGAAAATACCTTGTTGATGTGGCTAGAGGAGAATAGCCAGAGTGCTACAGATGGGCTACAGCTGCTGAAGAACGCTCCTGTCACCTAAGAATAGGAAACTGAGTCTACAATTTCACTGACACTGGACAACAGAAGAGAGACAAAATCTTCTCTGGACATTTTCAAAATTTAGTATAAACAACATGACAACATAGATCCACCCTGTCTTGTATCAGTGGTTCATGCTGGTGGTATTTTCTTGGCAAAGCTTGGGGCCCTTAGTACCAGCTGAACATCATTTTACTGTTATATCATTGCATTAAAAGCTAATCTGAAGTTTTCATAGTTCCACATTACTGAGGTGGCTGTTATTTAATTAATGGGTTTCATCAGTATCACAAATGCTTCCATAAAATATAATAAAATCATAAAATAGAAATGCGCAAGGACAAGAACACAACACAAGTGCAATACTTGACTACATGCACCAAGTCAGAGTTGATTACTGATCAAGCAACACCACAGAGATAACCTGTAATTAGTTATCGATGCTTTTGGGCTTCCATCTTAATCAACAATGACAAGAAAGTTCATCTGTTAGACAACAACAGGGAGGGAGAAACGATGAGAAACAAAGTTGTGAGACATCTAAAACACATACTACACTGGGTAAGTTAGCAGCTCTTTCATATTCAGCATTAGCGCAGTGTAGAACATGTGAAAAGCATCTGTGAATACGCCCAGTAAATATACAGTAGTACTTTGGGATGAAGCTGAAAGTGAGTGAAGCAGAAGATGCTCCAGTTATGAAGAAAAATCAGTAAAATTGATTTTTAAAAAATGTAGGCAGGAAATGAGCAGCAGAAAGAAGAGGACTGATTCATAAGTACTATGTTTGTTTAGTTCAAATGTGATGTTTACACTGAACTGTCTTTAAATCCTGAACACTGCAGCCACATGTCATCCAGCAGAGAGCGGTTTTATGGGAATTCAGCAGCGCCACATGTGATTACTGTGATTAGGGCCAAACAGCAGATCAGAACATGAATCATGAGCTGTGAAATCAACAACCAAACAAAATCAGTGAAGATGCCTGGATATAAAACAGGAACTGTTTCAATGAAATTAAAAATAAAATTAACTTTGTCAATGATCCCAGAATTTTCCTCTGCTGCTTACAGCTTGTAGTTGTGGAGAAAACCTAAGTGTAAAAGAATAACATAGTTATTGCATAGCTAATAATTAGTTTATTAGTATATTATTACCATTATCAAACGTTACTGCCAAGGTCAGGTTGGCACTAATCTTTGTGTTTATGTTGAAAGGAAGTAAAAAGGTGGGTTTTTTGTTCACATGCTGATCGTTTTGACTGTGCGTGTTACTGTGGAGCTGCTCAGACCATTAAACATGAGAGTTAACTGATTGTATGTGCATTCATGTTAATTAAGGTGAAGAGGTAGTGCTAACTGAGAGAGGGGACTCTCAGTTTAAAGTTGTCACCGGTGAACTGAATCATCAGCGTATGTGTGGTTTCACAGCCAAGCCATCTTATCTGGTATTGGTTTTATGGCCTGAACAACCTTTGATCTTCTCTTTTTTTCCCCTTTCTTTGCCGTCCTTTCCAGACAGGAGTGAATCAGACGTCTATAAGCTGTGCGTTTGGCTCTGTCTGTGGCACGTAGACACGGATGCCTGTTGTTGTGTGAGAACTAAATGAGGTTTTTCTCTCAGCTGTGACTTTGATTTTTCCATCATTATATCCTCTTTATTTCTTAATGACATTTTTGGCAATTTGTCTTTATTTGTCTATCTCCATGCTGGTGGTTTCTCTTAATTTAAATCATGAATTTTGCCAGTCAACATATGAGTTTTCATGTACAGGTAAACCCAAATCTGCATCATGATATTCCAGAGAACAGAATTTGCTTTCTGCCACTTTATTTTACCCAAAAGGAGGATTTTAAATAGTCAAGCTGTGAGTGAAGTACAGACCTCCAGCTGTAATTCAAGGGGTTTTAAAAAATTAAAAATTTGACATTAACTGAAGGGATATAGATTGTCCTAAATTTTCAGAGGCTAAAAATTCATCGGACAATTCATTGACCTGGAGTTACAAAGCCAGGCGAGGTCGGTTCTCTTATTATTTCTTGACAAGTTAATAAGATAAAAGGGGCATCATTATTCTGGAAAACCTCAACAAACCTGTCAGCGAAATAACAAAAACTGTAGTAGAGGACAAATCAACACAAACTCTAGTTTTATAGCTTTAACTTTACTGATAAAAGTGTCCCATGTGGCCATTGACGCCTTATTCTTTGCTTAAATTAAGATATCTCAAGGATTAATCTTTTTTTTCTGGGCCGTTTTCCTTTTTGCCAATTGAACTGTATTTCTGCACAAAACAATTCCATGGTACGATTCTCCATTAAATTAAATTTGTGAGTGTAAGACTATCAACAAACTTACAACCAAGCCATGCTCTGCGTGTTTGCTTTAAGCTTTAATTTATGCAGGCCATGACACAGCGCTGACAAGGTTATATGGCCTGCGTCTGTGTCTTTAAAGGTTGTATATTAACATGGTGACATAGAAAGAACAGGTGAGTAGCGCTTAGAGGAAAGTTGAAAGAGGAGAAGACTTTCGCACAGGATTTATTTTTTCTTCAAAGCCTTGGTGGATCAGGCAAAGCTTTAATCAAGGCGATCATAAGTTAAGAGTTTTCCGAGTGTTTTGGTGACTTTACTGAACTGGATTCAGGATCGGTGGATACCATGGACTCTCTTTAACGGCTAAAAAACAGAAGCACTCACCTCGGAGCTGAGAATGGGCTCGGGAAGCTGGTTACTGTGTTTGTTCATCTTTGGAATTCTTGTGGCATCGTGTCCTAGTGTTGGACAATGTGGGAGTGGGATTACAATCAACGTTATACTGTTGGATGATGAGGACTCTCCCTGGAGCCTCCAGTATGTGGAAGGAGAAATACTGAAGGCCATAGAGAAAGATTCAGCCATTAATGCTGCCCAGGGTAATGAAATTAAAAACTAAAACAAAAAACAAATCCGCACAAAATCAGACATTTGGATCTCTCGCAACAGCACTCTCTATATACAGTATGTATATTGGTCCACTCAGGTTTATAGATATTGATAATTTAACACATATGTCACTGACTATTATTGTTAATTTATATTTACTGCTTTGCATACTGTTCCTATTTTCAGATTTTCATGTTGCTTTTCCCAAAAGTAACAATTTTAAAGCTGTTTTAGGACTAAAAAAGTATACAAGAAAAGTAAAGCTGCTACTGTTAACAGATATTCTGTAGTTAGTTTCATAAACTAGCAGATTAAAGATCGTTATCCTATTAATTACAAGGAAGCTACCTGCAATGCTTATTAGCTTACTAGCATAAAACGCTTGTTCTACTAAAACTTATCTTATACTAGTTTAGCCTGACTTTTGGTCAACATGACAACATACAGTTTGGTGTTATTTTTGACTCACCCACAGTCTGCAATGATGCCATTATGCAAAAAGTATTGACACCTATTATTTAAGATAATTAAACATAAAAGGTTTTTTTTGGCTAGCAGGAATTTTTTATCTAGCCAAGTTTTTATTAAGTGGCTGTTAGGAAAGCCCTGTAGGGTTTATTTCTAAACATTATCAGTAAAACTTAAACAGAATGTCCCAGTTTATGACACAGGTAATCAAAAGTAGTTGTCTTGTTTGCCAGCTGAAATTTGTTGTTTTATTTTTATTAGCAACTATGATTTTTCAGCTGTAGCTAGCTATTTAAGCTTACATGGTTCTGTGTCTTTTGCTGTTGTGGAGTGTAAACTTCCCCAAATTAATAGATTTTACATATATGGTAGAATTCAGGGCCTACTTCCTCCACACACACACACACACACACACACACACACACACACACACACACACACACACACACACACATTTTATTTCTCTTTAAAACAAATCTAATATCCACATACACACTGCAGTTCAAAATGGAGAGAAAGTCAAAACTAACATCTGGAACTTTCTTTCTTTCCACACACCCAAGATCCAGCTGTGACTTTTAACCTAACTGCGAATTTCAGTGGGTTTGACACAACCTTATACTGGCACCGAGGCTGCCGGAGCAGTTCATGTGAAGCAGTTGCAGAGCTAAACAACCTGACGGTAAGTAGCTACAGTTTTATATTAAAAAATAGAAAGAATATTAGCATGTTGGATGCACATATACATGAGCTTGTGTAACCCTGAGATCTTGCTTCCACAGGACATTCATTTATGGGTTTATGCACCTTTTAGTTCGCAGACCTGCTCTCCTCATTAATGCCATAGACACCTTTTTTGTGCAAGACCACAAATCAAAATAAGACTATGCCAGTCTCAGTAAATCTCTGTAAAAACTTAACAGAATCACTGCTAAGCCAACGAAAACTATTATTTCACTTCCTTTCTGAACACCCCAGTTTTCCTTCAACTACTGTCAAAGACATGCCTTGCTTGGCCTGCTGGTATTTGCTGTCTACTGCCGAAGTCCCACACGACAGCCAAGCTTGAGTCGACTCCTGCTCCAGTTTGCCCCCATGGCAGGCACGGGACACCTTAAGGCCACAGCCCCTTGCAACTGCCTCAGCTAAGGAGGTTCAGAATATGTGTCACCCCTCACCCTAAAAATCTTTTCTAAGCTTTTCCAGAGGTCGAGCTGAAGATCTCCTGGACTAGGGGCCTCTGCCCGATGCTCCCAGCGTACCTTTACTGTACCACTTGGTAGTTACTTGACAGCTCAACTCTCTACCTAGCCAAGACACCTGGTCCAGATGTGATGATGGGATTACAAAATCAAATATCAGTACCGAGTGCACTTATGAATACCCTTTGCAGGCCATTTCCCAGCCTTCAGCCCTCCAAGTTTAATTGTTATTAGCATGCAACATAAGAATGTGAACAATGAAAACTCCCAGCTGGAGTCCGCAGCTGGGCCATCTTCTTCCCCCCGCTTATGCGTTCGGTGCATAAGCGCAAATGACGGTCAGGACCCGTCCCCCGACTTGAGAGCAATCCTCTTGTCCACTGGGTGAAACCCAAACCTACAGGCACATTGAGGGCATCTGACATGGACCCCTCTTGAATGCCTCCTAGGTGAGGTTTTTAATGTCTAACTAGGAGGAGATTTGACATATGGAAGAAATTCTCTCAACTGGCTTTGAGAAGAGCAGGTTGCAGAGTAGCAGTTGGATAGCTAATAGAAGAAGGTCTGGGTGTTTCCACCTCGTGCTTAGGAAAAAAGCATGTATTTTACTTTAGAAATATTTGCAAATTATAGAATTTAATGAGATAAATCTCTGAAAAACACTCCACAGCCATGAACAAGACACAAGTAGAAAAGAGGATGATGTTTGATTCAAATGCACTTGATTAGCTTATCATCAGTAAGTGCGAACACCTCTATAAAAGCAGAGGTTTTAACAGTTTGCTGGTCTGGAGCATTCAGGTAATGCCAGGATTAAGACAATGCCAGGAGTAGATGTTCCAGCAAATTCACCCAAAGCCCAGACCGTGCAATGCTCAGAGAAACTGCAAAAAACCCAAGAGCTACAACCAAACACGCCTTATTAGCACAATACCCTCATACTAACTGTCAAACACCGTGGTGGAGGGGTTCTGTTTGGGGCTTGTTTTGCATCCACAGGATCTGGGATCGTTGCAGTCACTGAGTTGACCATGAATTCCTTTTAAGATGTGAGGCCATCTATCCAACAGGTTAAAAATGGTTCATGTAACAATAATCAAAGCACAGCGGCAAATCTACAACATAATTGCTGTGAAATGAAAGGATCAAAGTGCTGCAAAGGCCCAAAGTTCAGCCTGCCTGAAATTCTGTGTGAGCAACGTTCTAAAGAAGATGGGGGCAAAAATTGCATAAAAATGATTTTAGAGATAAAATGATGACAAAATCATACAAAAAACTTCAAGGTATTCCTGCTGAAGGCACTTGTACAAGCAGGGCTGGGGTCTCAGTTTAACACAAAGTCTTTCACATGATTCTATAAGGTCCTATATAAATTCCAAGTAATGTCTTATTATGCACCACACCTGAGATTTTGCACAGTTCTATGGCATATTGAGTTTTTCCGAGTAGTGTAGTAAACAGATGTTTGCTTGTTTGGTTGTTTTTTGCCTTGGTGCATGCTTCAAGTTTGGAGTATGGCGCATGTAAAATGTTCAAGTTACAAGGCTTTTGGATATGTTGCATCATTTGCGATTTTATCTGAGCAGGTGTTGTAATAAAAATATTTTAGACTTTGTTACACCCTGATGACTTTATTATGTTATATAGTAAAATAAACCTGCTGTCCCACAGTGAGAACATTTTTCCACAAACCACTTCTAGTGCAAGGAAAACAGGTCGATTTCCAAGAACCTGAAAGAAAACAAGAGTTTGGGTCTCAGGAGTTTAAAGATCAGGCAAAATTTACATAAAAATCTGTGAATTATTCGCTGTATATGTTTTTATTTTTGCAGGAATCAGGAAATCTGGGATGTGCTGTGCTTGGACCCACGTGCACCTATGCTACTTTCCCAATAGTTGAGTAAGTTCTGAATTTTCCAAGGACATGATTCTGCCAATAAGGTTGAAAAGGACACTTCAGATTTTCAAACAGGTTTTGCCTGTGTTGCACTATGCTTATCGTTCACCCGTTTATCATAATTAGTCGATACCATTGTCTCCCTCTCTTTTTTATTCTCTTCTTCCAGTAAGGAAGCCGGTATGAGTCTCAGTAGACCCATTCTCTCAGCGGGAAGCTTTGGTCGCTCGTGCGACTACACCTTCAACTTGCAGCGACTCCTGCCACCTGCACGCAAGATCGCTGACTTTGTCAACCACTTCTGGGAACAAAACAATGAGCTCAAACCTTCATGGAAGGCAGCGTATATTTATAAAACAACGAACCCCACAGAGGAATGCATTTGGTGAGTAACCCATCTTTAAGGAGAGACTCATCTGTTGTGAGCTATTACAAAATCTAATAAATTATATTTTTAATTATATTCTAGTTACATTTTTAAATGTAATAAAATGTTTTTAATTTAAATTATGCATTATATTCATTTTCATTTTCAGGTATGTAAGTGCAATTGAAGCGACGGTGGAACCGCTTGCCTTAAATATTTCAATAACGCCTCTACGCAGTCCCACAGAACTGCACAGCGTGCTTACATTACGCAACAGGACATCCAACTGTAAGAATTTTAAGTATTTTTCTCAAACAAGATCGAAAACCTCTCTGTTTTCACAGCGAGACATAACAATGGCTTCAGTTTGCTGGGACAACACACACAGACAGCTTGGATTCTATTTTCCTAAGAGAGCCCAGGGCCTACAAAGCACATTTAATTCAACTATTGAGTTTGTTAATGCTGTCATCACGAGGGAGACTCGGAATTTTCTGTTTCAGAAGGAGAGCTAGCTCGAGGGCCATAATAGCTTTTCTTTGAACTTCCTGCTGCATATTTTTACGCCACATTATGAAGGGTGAATTAAAAAAACATCAACAGTATCAGGCTATGCTTGATGGCTTTAGGTTTTGGTATTAACTTTGGTTTCAAGGTTGAAGAAGTAATTTAAATGGAAATCAAGTTTGTATTTGAGTCCCAAGGCCAACTAGGCAAAAAAAACAGAAGAAAAAAAATAACTGAAAGACTGTTCTGTTACAAATACTTCTCCGCTGCAGTGTTCATCATGTGTGGATCACCAATGGACCTAGTGGAAATTAAAAACGGCTCTAAGGCTGCGGACAGCAGTGATATCGCCTTCATCCTCATTGATCTTTACAGGTTAGTGCTGTTGAATCATTTCACTTCTGTTCCTATTTATTCCACTTGTTTTCTTTTTCTCTAACCCCACAGCAGTGATTCACAATCAGTACTTTCCTAACTGGTGAATGGGTACCTGGAGATTGTAAAGTAGTGACTGACTGATTGAGTGATTTCATGGAGTCAGTTACTGTGTGTCATCATAAGATGAGACTAAGTGTGGGAAGAAGTGAAGAAGCAGACATAGATGAAATAAAAAATTCAATCAGGACAGCTCGAGCCAACGTAATATTATTTCCATCATCTATGACTGCTCAACCATCCAATGGACACAGTTAAAAAGCCTCAGGAGGGGAGAGGAGCAGCAAAGCAGGGAGGGCATCAATGGCAGCGGCAACAAACATGACATTAAGTCACCATGAAAACTGAAAGTTGGGATGGAGCTGGGTTGCAAAATGGCTTGCAGAGGTAGCGGTTATGGTCAGGCTAAAGCTCCTTTGGGATCCAATGTACTATTACTTGATGCCCTGACTAAACACTTGATGTTTTTTGTCAAAAGCCGCACACAGCAGAAGTAGTAAGCCTAATTCAATTTCTGGAAGAAAGATTTTGGACAAAACTTGCCAAGCTAAGTGGCTAACTTAGCACAAACTAGGCTAAATCTATTGACTTTTCAACAGTATTATTATTGAATGATAATATCCATCTTTATACCAATTAAAGTCAGTAAAGCATGGTAAGCAAAGATCTATACCAAGTAAACTGTGTGTATAGAGTAGAAATGAGTAACTAAGCAATCAAATGCAGCTAAATTACTGAATATAATAGAATAATATATAATAATTGAATGAAACTGAAGGAAATTTTTGCACATGTAGAATTTTTCATCAGACCTCTGCTGATTCCTCTACACAGTGATGTATACTACACCAACACATCGTCGCTGCCAGAAATGAAGAACGTGTTGGTGCTCACCATGCCGAACACCCGAAGCTACAGAATCAACCCAGACCTTAAAGACAACAACACGGTGAGCAAACCAGAAATACACAACTTCTCTCTTTGCAGTGCTTCTGTAGCAATACAAAAAAGGTTAGCTCTGATTGGCTGTTTTTGTTCCACTCACTCTGAATAATCAACTTGTAGGGTTTTAAGGGAAAATAAGGGATTAACAATACAGGACTATGCCAACCAGAAATGGACCTCGGAAGAGTTAATAATAAATGTTCAATGAAATATCATTAAATAACGTCTTTACTGAGTATAAAATATATAAAATAATTCATCACCTGTGTAGTGAAGGATGCTCCTTCACTCAAATCTAAGGGCTGTACTGAGAAAGTAGTTCCAACCATCTGTCTCTGTCTGTTCCTCTGCAGATGAACGACTACATGGCCGCGTACCATGACGCAGTGCTCTTTATTGGCCAAGTGATGAGAACAATTTCTAAACAAAATCAGTCTCAGCTTCACAGGGCGGAATATGTGAATGTAAATTACTTCAGAAACACCAAATTTACTGGTAAGGCAGGTGGAAGATAACAGCGAGGAGGGGGAAGTGCTTGCATACAAGCTGCAAGTATGTGTATTAGCAAATACACAAGAATTTACACAAGTTAGCATTTTAATACTTTTTTGGCGGCTGCAGATAGTTGCAGTTAAGCATACTGAGCAAAACAGTAATAGATGCTAAAATTAGCTCGTGAAAAGTGGGAAAACACCATCCACCAAAACACTAATGAGCTGATCTCAGAGCAGACATGGCTACTGTGAGGTCGAACAGATGGAGGCTGTCAACTGCTATCACTTCTTTGTGTTTTCATTGACACAAAGAGTGTTGGTATAACAGCCCGCAGCTGTAAGCAGCCGGTTGTGAGTGCAAGTTTGACTGAGAGACGCATTAAAGGTTTACAGCTGACACACACGGTGAAATGAAGCGAACAGCAGTTTAAAAACGTTTGTGTGATTCTGCTCAGGGATTGCTGGGAATTATACGCTGGACGAGTACGGGGACAGAGACGTGGCTTTCTCAATCATCTACACCACTACTGACAACAAGGTATCTTTTTCTCCTGTTTTCTTTTTTGGCATTTAGCAGTGAATACACGAAGAAAAGATTCAAAATAAAACCTTACTGTGCTGCATCTCTTGCTTCTGGTTTGATGCTAAAATGTGTCTTTTTGTTTTTTTCCTCCCCTCTTGTGTCACACCCAGTACGATATTTTATTCACATTTGACACGGAGCGCAATAAAACCACAGTGGTGGAGGAGGCTCCTAAGTTCATCTGGGGGAAAAGACTTCCCAATAACATGCCAGACAGCGGTACATCGAAAGACACACACACACATACACATGTTTAGCTATATCATTGAGTTCAGTGGGCACAACCTTAAAATATGTCTTAACCTTAATATTTTAAAGATTTATGTTAAGAGAACTTCCTTTTTTGTCCTCTAGAAAGAAGGCATGTCCACCATAATGATTTAGATCTCCACAACAAGGCCTGATCAGTTTGCATCCGCTCAGTCAGGTCGTTTTCAAAGACTTGCACTAATCCAGGTTCCGGTGAATTATATGTAAGGCTTCAGCTGTGGTTTAAGCACCTCTCTGTTTGAGTCCCTGTTTTCATTTAATAAGCATTAATGGTGGGTATGAACAGGAGGAAAAGTTATAGCAACCACAAACTGCTCCACGTACATCAACTTTTGCATGTTTTATATGAAGTGGTTTTATGGCTCAGTTCTTCTTTTGTTTCCTGTAGATGACCTCCTCACAGCCCTATCTGAGATAAGCTTAAATATTATGGCACTTGAACGCTTGGCCCATGTTTATCTTTTGTCCTCTGTGTGTCAGAAGCATCGGCTTGGAACTGAAATGGTGCCTCTTTTTTGTCTTTATTACTGCAGGCCCTGCAATTCGCAACATCATTATAATTGTGTTGGCTGTTACTGTGGTCGTAGTGGCCACGATCGCCTTTATTTTCTACAGGTATGCCGTAGCACATGAGAATAACAGGGAGTTATTAAGTGTGTGGCAGATTTTAATTAAATGTTTGGATTCTCTGCAAAAGGTCATGAATTTACATAAATGATTTTGGCCCCATCATATAATGGCATATATAGTAGTACGGTAGATACACTGCTCCAAAAATTGCAGGAAAACTTTGAAAACACGACAGCTTTTAATGGGAAAAAATCACAGTGGATATTCACATTGATGGGGACTTGGTAATGTGTTAGGAGTGATAAAGTGCCCCAACATGTAATGGAAATGTAATGATCAACCTACAAAGGGCTGAATTCAAAGACACCCCCAAAAATCAAATTGAAGAAAAGAAGCAGCAGGCTAGACCACTTTACAACATGCTCCTGATGAGATAATGGATGGTGTCCTGGGGGATCTACTCCCAGATCTGGACCTGGGTGTCACTGAGCTCCTGGACAGTCTGAGGTGCAACCTGACAGCTTCAGATGGGCTGAAACTGAAAGTCCTAAAGGTGTCAGGCAAGTGTGGAGGCCAGACATCGGTATCATCGTCCAGAAACTTCCTGCATACTCTCAGCATATAAGGATGGGCATTGCTGTGTATTCAGAGGAAGATTTCATCCTGATACCCGATGCCAGTCAGGGTCTGTAGACATCTCTGCGTCCCTCTATGTATATGCCTCCCCAGTGCATCACTGACCCACCACCAAACCAGTCATGCTGAAGGATGTTACAGACAGCATTGCATTCTCCACGGGTTCTCCAAACCCTTTCACTTCTGTCACATGTGCTCAAATGAACCTGCTCTCATCTGTGCAATGCACAGGGCTCCAGTGGTGGACCTGCCTGTTTTGGTATTCTGTGGAAATGTGAATTAGGCTCCACAGTGCTGGGCAGTGAGCACAGGGCCCACTGGAACACACTGGGCCCTCAAACCAGCTTCATGAAGTCTGTTCTGATTGTCTGGTCAGAGACATTAACACTAGTGTCCTGCTGGAGCTTTGACAGTTCTCATCTTGCACAAAAAAAGTGGGTTAAAGCTCTTCTCCAGGCCTGTCCAGAGTAACTGTCTGTGTCCTGAAATCTCCTCTGTGCTCTTGAGACTGTCTCGGGAGACACAGCAAACCTTTTGTAAATGGCACGTATTAATGTGCCAACATGGAGGAGTTGGACTACCTGTGGAGCCTCTGTAGGGTCAAGGTATCACCTCATGCCACCAGGAGTGACACTGACCCCAGAAAAATGCAAAAGTAGTGAAAAAACCATCAGAAAAGATGAAGAGGGAAGAAAATGTCAGCGACCTCCACCTGAAACTGAACTAACCTCCTCTAAACTGACCAGATTAGTGTCCCAGACGTGTAACTGGCTCGATGCTACACTCTGATTAAAAGGTGCTACAATTATCTTTTAGAGCTGTGTATATACGGACTTTCAGGTTACATGAAAAATAATCTGAAAGTCTGTATGTACTATACAGGTTATAGCTCTATTACACTCTCTAAAACATGGACTCATGACATGAAATTTAAATTGAAAGCTGCCTTTTATAAACATAGGAGTCAGATGCTTTTCGTGCAACCAACCTTTACCAATAATCTCCTGATGCAGTTTTTTCTTTCCCGCATAGACAGAACAGAAGAGATCGACTGCTCAGGAAGCGCTGGTCCCACGTGAACTCTGATCTCATCACGCTGATGGAAAATGATGACATCAACGTCATCTCCCTTAATGTAAGTGAAAACACCTCAGTAAACACCTCAGTCAAGTCAGCTTTAAGAATGCTGTGACAGCGACCTTCCTCTAACCCCCGTTAGATTGAAAGTAAGAAGAAAAAGAAGTTCAAGATCCGCTGTGCGCTCTACGATAAGAAGGTAGATGGACAGCATCCTGCAGTGTTTTCCAAATCAGTCAGCATCTAGTGCTTTTGCACTGATGAAAGTGAGTTAGCAGATGTAATCTGGTTGGTGCTTCTGCAATATTTCTTTCAGATTGTGATCTTGAAGGAGCTGAAGAACTCGGATGGGAACTTTGATAAAACCCAGAAAAGGGAGCTCAATGCGGTAAGACGTCTTATCACACTGAAATCCTTTTATTGCCAGCCCTCTTTGTTAATGTTTATCCAAACTCACTAGCACTCCACATGTTTGCCCCCCCTGCAGCTATTGCACATCGACTACTACAACCTCACAAAGTTTTACGGCACAGTCAAGTTAGATCACGGTGTCTTTGGCGTGTTTGAGTATGGCGAGCGAGGCTCGCTCAGGGTACGTATAGCAAAACTTTCAATTTAAATCCATCTTCAGGTCTCAGTTTAAACACAGCCGTCAAGAAGTGTGAAGAATAAAAGTGTATTAATGCAGAACTGGGGTGTGTTTTTCTTTTTCAAGTATGTGCTGAATGACAAGATTTCATACCCAGAGGAGACCTTCATGGACTGGGAGTTCAAGATCTCTGTCATGTACGACATCGCCAAGGTGAGAGAGAAGTGCTTGACTTTGCCCGTGAGCAGAACAATTATCAAAGTTAAGCATTTGCAAGCATCACATGTGGTGTGTGGCATGATAAGAGACCACACAAGTGGAGATTGACTCGTTACTCGCCGCCCTGAGCGGAAAAACGGTCACGTGTATCTGCCATAAAGCAGCAGCATTCACTAAACACCATAAATCATTACAGAGGACAATGCAATGAATGACAGGATCGGTTTTTGTACTGAGAGCTTGACATAGTTAGTAGCAATCTGTCTTAATGCATAACTGAAAAAGGGTTATGAAACTTAGCGTTAGTCAATATTACTCTCCATTCATGCAGCGTGACATAAAAGATCCCTGAATAACTGGTAATAAACTTTTGTACCTGATGTAAACTGCAATGGGATCACTTCACCTGTTACCGTATAATAAACTGAACCCAGAACATGTTCATCATCAAAAAGAAAGGAAGGTTCGCTCAATCCTGACACTTATTTCACGTGAGTAATAATCGTTTACTAAAACTTTAGAAGTTCTATCAAAAGCCAAACGGACAAACTGAGTGTAATGTGACTGCCAGGATTACACAGCGCTGTGCAAAAGTCCCCTCATGTCTTCATAGTTTGCTTCCAAGGAGCCAGATTTTGTTGCTTTGTTCAAACGACTCTTAAGCAATAGTTTTGCAGGCTTTCTGAAAATCTTTTAAAGTTTTTATTTAGACATTGGCTGCTTTTTCACTCATTTTTTGTCCAGTAGACTATGCAAGCATAAAAAAGGGATGAACCAGTGTTGTATCTACACATAACAAACAACTTTGCAAAGAACCCATTTTTAAACTCTATCTTTAGTCATGTTGTCACTGTGAGCTGAAGGATGGACAAGCATAAAGAAAATGGATTTATAGTCTCAATAAGAAGTACATATAGTGAAGAGGCCTCCTTATCTGTAACAACTGTGATCAAAACAAAGCCATTAAAAGACTGTGCCTCTAAAGTTTGATCAGTTTGATTGATGTCACAGTGCGATAAACAACTTGGCAACTTACCAGAAAGACTCAATATTATCCCACTAGTTAATAATTAAATGATTAAACACTTAAAATGTAACATTTAAGTGTTGGTGGGGTTTTTTGTTCTAAGCTTGTTGTTTGATAAGTCAGACCCTGTGAAGGCACAGTAAGCTTTTATATAAGTATTTTTTTCTGGCTCAAAATTATTAAAAAGGTTTGGTTTAAATGAAGAGCAGGATTACACAGGTCTGCAACCAAAGGGTGCATAGGATCTTTTGACTGCTTCTCATAGATTTTTACTCACTGAAACGAGGAAAAATATTTTAAAAATTCAATCTTGTCAGGTTTTCTTAATTCATATTTTTAGTTTAATGTAAACTCTTCATGTTTTGCAAAAGCAAACTGTATGTAATGGAGGGAAATGGAGGTCATTTTTGGATTCAGCACCCTAAAAAACATAACATTTACCAAAAATATCCCATGCGACTGAAAAAATAAATTGTTTTTGCAGACCTGTGTTATGGGAGCTGCTGTTGCACTTGCCTCTGCCTGCCAGCAGAGGTCATTAAACACCAGATTACTCACCGCCTCTTTGATTTTCCATAAATCTCATGACTTCCACCAGTGGAAGGTGTAATGTTGCTCTGAATCCTCTGTGCAGGGCATGTCTTACCTCCATGCCAGTGACATTCAGGTTCACGGTCGCCTCAAATCCACCAACTGTGTGGTGGACAACCGCATGGTGGTGAAGATCACAGACTTTGGCTGCAATGCTTTTCTTAGCCCCTTCCAAGGTGACGCCGCAAACAAAAATCCTCCTGAAATATCTTTTTGTTCTCTTCTTTACCTGCTAACGTTTGTCTGTCTCCACATCATCCTGTCAGACTTGTGGACAGCTCCGGAGCATCTGAGGAACGAGGGCACGTCTCAGAAAGGAGACGTCTACAGTTTTGCCATCATTGCGCAAGAGATTGTTCTCAGGAAGAACACCTTCTACACTGAATCCTGCTCCGACCGATCAGGTTTCCAACACTCAAATACAACACGTGACAGTTACAGTCATTTTGTTTGCAAATGATCATCTCTGCACCACCAAGGTCAGAGTAAAAGAAAGAAGACCTGTTTGATCCGGAGCTACACTACAATGCCATGTGTCTGTGTGTTTCTCAACAGAAAAACTGTCCAGGCTCAAGTCATCCTACTTCAGACCTGATCTTAACTTTGAGACGGCTTCAGAGAAAGAATTAGAGGTTTTTTTATTTCATTCATGTGCCAGCTTTATTTTATTTTCAGTATCTGTTTTGTCTGTATTGTATTCAAATTGTTCTTTCCTCCTGTAAGGTGTACGCGTTGATAAAAAGCTGCTGGGACGAGGACCCAGAAAAAAGACCTGACTTTAAGAAAGTGGAAATTTATCTGGGGAAAATCATCAGGTAATAATGCTCTCTTTATGTTATTGCTGTTTTCAGCTATCAGTGTGCATGTCCTGGTGTAGCCTTTATAGTTTCTGGGAAACGGATTACAGATTTCTAAATATATCTCCCTCCTCATATCCCTTTTCTTCTCCTCTTCATCACTCCAGTAAAATCCATAATCAGGAAAATGAGAGCTACTTGGATAACATGATCAGACGGCTGCAGATGTATTCCAGAAACCTGGAGTACCTGGTGGAAGAGAGAACGGCCCTCTACAAAGCTGAGAGGGATCGAGCTGACAATCTTAACTTTATGCTGCTGCCTGGGTTTGTTTACACTTAAAGAAGAAATGCACATCATTAGACACTTAGAACAATCAGGACATAGATGCTAAATCATTCATGCACTGTTAGAGAATTAGTTTTATTTCTACATTAACAGTGACCAGCACTGAGTTTCAGTGGTTAGCACTGTCACCTTAAAGCAAGAAGGTCACCCCTTGCCTACGTTGGTTTTCTCTACGTTGGCTTGGTTTCTTCTCAGAGTTCAAAGACATCCATGTTAAGTTTATTGGTGATTCTAAATTAGGTGTAAATGTGATTGGCTGTGTATGTACTATGCCTCCAAAAACAAGTCAAAATTTGAAGAAGAAATATGCTAAAAATGCTAAGTGGCTGTAAAAGTTCAGCCAAGCATAAATTGTTGGATTGAATGTTTTTAATGGGTAGTATACATTTATAGCTATATAATTTTTAAAAGTGAATATAAATTTGAGTTTAAACAGCATAAACTATTGGATTAAATAGTTGAAATAGATAAGATAAGTTAGTAGTTACAGTATATAGTTTAAAAAGCTAGCATAAATTAATGACAATAAATGATTAGAAAGGTTACTTTAAATTGTTTGACTGAATTGTTAAAATAATTTTTGTAAACTGACGGTTAAAGCGTTTTAAAAGTTAGCATAAACTACTGGATTAAATATTTTAAATAGGTAAATTAGTGGTTAAATAATGTTTTCGGAGTCTCCTGCATGGGGTGGGAGATGACAGCTTAGCCACCATTGTCCTGTCACTCACCACCTCCACTGGGTCCATCCTAGAACAGAGCTGGCCCTGCGGATCAGCCTGTTCAGTCTCTTCCTGTCCCCGGCAGAGATGTTGCCACCTCAGCAGACCACACTGTAAAAGATGGCTGAAGCCACCTCAGCGTCATAGAAGGTCTTCTGGAGTGGGCGCTTCACTCCAGAAGACCTGAGACTCTGCAGCAGGTACAGCCTGCTCTGCCCTTTCCTGTAGAGGGCGTCTGAGTTATGAGTCCAGTCCAGTTTATTGTTCAGATAAACACCAAGGTACCTGTAGCTGTCAACATTGCATTTTATTCTGTTGTATATAGTATTTTATTCTATTCTATTGTGTACAGTATCTTATTTTATTATCTTATCCTATTCCAGTGTTTTTTCTTAATTTTTGCTTCTGCTGTAAAAAAACAGTGGGACTCATGGAGGTTATCTTATCTGATCTTATGTTAAAAAATTAGCATTAATGAATGGCTATAAATGGTTAAAAAGTTACCATACATTGTTGAATAAAATTGTTAAATGAATAGTTAATACAAACTGACTAATAAAAGGCCTAGTCTAATAGTAACCCTATTAATTAAAAGCTAAATAGTTTTTAAAAAGCTAACACAAATTAATGGTTAAATAGTTACTAAATTAGCATACATTTGTCTCTTTAAATGGTTAGAAATGTTACCTTAATTATAAGTAAATAATTGAAATAATTAGTGTTAATTAATGATCAAAACGTTAGTGTAAATTAACAGTTAAGTGGTTGTAACAAGTAGCATTATTGAACTGTTTAAAAAGGATAGTTTTTTAAAAATAAAGGATACATGGATGAAATGGATGGATGAACTGTTGGGGAAACTTGGGGGGGCCTTTGGTTTAACCAACTCAAAATCAGAATGAAATCTCAATGGAAAAAATGTCTTTTCTTTATTATGTTTCTCTCTGTGGTTAAAAGCCCGGTGGTTAAAAGCCTGAAGGAGACCGGGGCTGTGGAGCCAGAGCTGTACGATGAAGTTACAATATATTTCAGTGACATAGTTGGCTTCACCACTCTGTGCCAGTACAGCACGCCGATGGAAGTTGTGGACATGCTTAACGACATCTACAAGGGGTTTGACAGCATCGTCGACCACCACGATGTGTACAAGGTATTGGCAGGGATGAAACCGAAGACATTCAGGCACCCAGCAATGAGCACGAACATCATGGTTTCCTTTACTATCCTCAGGTGGAGACAATAGGGGATGCCTACATGGTTGCTTCTGGTCTTCCAAAGAGAAACGGGAACAGGCATGCAGTGGATATTTGCCGCATGGCGCTGGACATCTTGGCATTCATGGGCACCTTCCAGCTCCGGCATCTTCCCGGTATTCCTGTGTGGATACGAATCGGTGTACACTCAGGTCTCTTCTTCTTTGTTTTTCATTTTTTAAACTAGTCATTTTGGCAAAGCAATTCACCTCCTGCTGATCTTTACACTAATTCTTCTGTCTCCTGGTTGTTTGTGGGTTCAGGTCCCTGTGCGGCGGGCGTCGTGGGAATAAAGATGCCCAGATATTGTTTATTCGGAGACACGGTCAACACAGCATCTCGTATGGAATCTACAGGACACCGTGAGTGGACACATGTAATGAACAAACTGATTTACACTGACATTTTCTCCAGCCGCTTCCTTTGTTCTCGTTATTTTACATGAATGACTTCCCGTACATTACTCTAGCGCAATTATAGAAGCCAGCAGTCAGCCTAATTAAATAAAGTGACCACAGCCAAGCTCTGTTGTCTTTCTTTTTATCTCACAGCCCTGCGGATCCATGTCAGTCAGCCTACCATAGATATCCTGGAGAGAACAAACTGCAAGTTTGAGTATGAGATGAGAGGGGAAACATACCTGAAGGTAAAGGTTGGTCTCTACATTCAATGTAGCAGCATGTCAGCCAAATTAAATTGAGATACAGCGACAAAAATCTTCACTGCGACACTGATGCCAGTGACTGTGATGACTATGTGGGGTTTTTTTTAGGGTAAAGGCACAGAAACAACTTACTGGTTGACAGGTGAAACTGGTGAAGACTACGATCTTCCTACTCCACCCACAACGTGAGCAAAAAGGAGATAAAATCCTTTCACATGCAGCTGCGCATCTGAGATTCACTCTTTCAACATGGTGCTTTCTCTTCCAGTGAAAACGTCCAGCGGCTCCAGCAGGACCTCGCCCACATGACCTTGACGTGTTTGGAGCGTCGCTCGCGAGGTTCCGTGCGAAGGAAGAAGCTGCTACCAAGTCAGAGCAAGGAGGACACCAGCGACCAGGGGTCAGAGGTCGAGTCTGAGAGCAGCCTTCCCGAGTACCTGCATCTAGCCACTGTGGATAACACACTCAGTACCTTCCTGTAGAGCATGCTGTAACTATTTGCCTGTTATTGCATATAGAGCAGGAAATCAAGCATAGAAAAATGAGGAATTAAAAGTCCTGCGTCTAAAGACCTCAAATATTCACGCATTATTTCCTGCCATCATTTTGGGTGGTTGGAAACGGCGGGTGGAAACTTTGTACTATGTAATTGATGTTATTTTTTACCCACTCAAGTGTCATAGCTGAAAGCCAAAACCTTAGATTTGTTCAGTGCAGATTTTTTTCTATAACCAGTTGGGGGGTTTTGTTATCCTCCGTCAAAAGAAAAACGGTCAAAAAGGGCATTTTAGGCCAACTTTGAAGGTCAGGTACTCTGCTAAAACAAGATTTAGCATATTCAAGGATTCATTTTTATCCAAATTTTGATTCCAGGCTCAGCTTCTAGCTCTTTTTCCTTTTATGCCAAAATTATTTTTTGCTACATCTGTATTTTTACACCTGTGAATGTGTAATAATATGGTTCAGAAATTGATCTACATACATCTATAAAATAGTGTGGAAACCCAAACTGAAGTTATGAGAAAAATAAATAAATAAATAAATAAAAGCACAAAATTTCAGCACCAGTTATATCACAAAAAACAAACAAACCCAAACACAGCTGATGCTCATGTGGTCAGGTGGCAGCGTTTTTGGATTTGATTCACTTACTATGGAATGAGCCAGCCGCAGCACCCTCACATGCCAGTGCAGATGCTGCTAATGGCCTGTTCAACTAACAAAACACAGGAACACGATAAGAACAGAAGAGGCCGTTTTGCACAGACAGAAATGCAGGTTCGCCCTTTTTGTGCATTGTACAGTTTGGAAAAGGTTTTAGAACTACAGTAATACAGTTAATGTATTTGTAATATATCCTGTTGTTTTTGTCATTAATGTTCATTGATTGTTTCTGCTGCTTAGCTTAAAACTGGGTTATTCTATTTATGTACAGCGCTTAATGTGTATTTGTTTCCACATTTGTCAGCCAGTAGGTAAATTATAGGTCTCATAAATATCTATAGACAATGCTTATAAAAGTCACAACTCAGCACCATCTGCATTTATTACTTTAACCAAATGACGGCCAGTTTTTGACTCCGTATACATCTCATGTCATGCAGAGGAGGCTGTATTGAGGAAGCTCAGGGAGGAAGATGCTGCACTGCAGGCCCTTGAAAAAGTGCCTTTGTTATTGTATAGAGCAGCGGTCCCCAACCTTTTTTGCACCACGGACCGGTTTAATGTCTGACAGTATTTTCTCGGACCGGCCTTTAAGGTGTTGCAGATAAATACAACAAAATAAAATGATACGACCAAGACAAAAACTGTGGTATTTTGTAAATACAATAATGAAAGCGAAGTCACCGTGTAATTGTGTAACTTTATTAGCAGCGTCCTCCTGAAATGCGCCGCAACAGAGTAACATCAGTCGTGTCCAAATTCATGGGCTGCATCCTCCTGAGGACCCGGCCTTCGCGGTCTACGTGGGCCGGGTCCTCAGGAGGTCGGGTAGGCCGGAAGTAAACTGCTGTGAAATTGGACGGTCTAGCCTTCTGATTAGCGTCACTGCTGTGTCGGTGGAGTTTAATAAACTCAGCCGTCTGCTCCTTGCTATCTAAAATATAACAGGACACTGGCGTAAATTCTCGACCATTTCACACTTCTGTTTAATCAGTTTTCTGTTTGACGTTTATTAATCGCCCGGGTGGGTTCCTCCTTGGTGTTCACACAGCTGAATAAAGTTTTATTTTATCTAATCTAATAACTTTAATCTCAGCCAAACCGATTTACTCGCGAACAAATAAAACACTGAAAAAAGCCAAACAATAACATTTTTAGGTTGTCTAAGTGACTTATTTATTACGTTTAACCTGAGTAGCGAAAGCCCGCGGTGATCTGAAACTAATGTGCCGGGAGTTGTGCCATTCTCGGCGGCTCTAGTGATTCTCGAGCTCTCGGCTAGCTATCGAGCTGGTGGGTAACAGACGTCTCCGAAAACGTCGAAGCACTTTTGCAAATATGCGATATCTTGATAAACCGAGCAGATATTTGAAGTT